CTGGGCACGATGGGGACAAAGGGGTCCTGGGGAACATTGGAGGGACATGAGGCCACAGGCTCATGCTGGATTCGGCCCTCGGCTGCAGGCAGAGCGAGGGCAGGGGAGGGGATCCAGAAGATGCTGCAGCCAGGGCTTAGCTCTGCGGTGCTGCCTGCGACGCTGCAGGAACCGGTCAGCCCGGAGGGGAAGGGGCCAGCGCCCCCGGGTCGGGATGCTGAGCTTCACCCTCCCCAGCACCCGCAGCCCTGTGCCCTTCGAGCACCCAAGCCAGGCTCTGCAGCAGAAATGAGCCCTACAGCACCTTTGGGATGGGGGGTCCCAGCCTCCTTCCCCACCTCCCCATCGCTCCTGGTTGGTGGCACCCCAGGGTGGACCCTGCCCTGGGCGGCCGGGAGCCAGTCGGTCCCTCTGTCAGTCCCTCTGTCCCTGGTCAATGCAGCCCAGCATTAACATAAAATCAATGCTCCCTCCCCTGCCCAGCCCATGGTCACCCCAGGGCAAAACCCTTTAACCCCTTCACCCCTGCCCGGGGGGACCCATGGGGAAGAGGAGGGGGAAGGACAGAAGGACAGAGGCCAGGATGGGGGTCCCTCCTCCCTCCAGCCCCTTCACACAGGTCCCTGCAACCTTGGGCCCCACTCTCTGTCCCCAAGAGCTTTCACACTCCTGACACCAAAGGGGAAAACTGGGGGGGACAGACCACGGTGGCATGACCATGGTCCCGCAGAGAGGGGCTGCTGCGGTACAACTGCGTTTAGAAGCACGTGGCCAAATCCACATGGGTCCCCGGGCCACGGCAGGGCCAGCACAAACCCTCTGGCTGGGTCCTGACCTGCTCCTGCCACCAGCACCGCTGGGTACGAGGGTCCTTGGCTGGGGACATGGTGGGGGGGTGGCATCGTTCCCCATTGGGGGGTCAGGATCTGGCCCAGGGGGGGATGGCATCGTTCCCGATTGGGGGGTCAGGATCTGGCCCAGGCTGTGGGGAGGCGAAAGCAGAGCATCCGGAGGGCAGGAGCGGGGAGCCCGCACCAGCAGCCTGCCCCTCCGCACCAGGCCAGGCCCCGGATTTACATTTGTATTCATTTTTAAGT